CTGCAGCTTCAGCCTTGTGTGGACTCTTTGCTATGAGAGGATTTAAATTCTAGTGAATGAAGTCCCAACTGAGCTTAGATAGGGTTTTATCAGGTCTTCTGCAACCCTCTTAGTGACAGATTTAGACCTTGAGGAATGCAGAGGTTTAAAGCTATGTCACATCCTCTGAACTACACTGTGAGGTGGATGGCAGACACAAGGCGGGCAGTATCTCCGTCCGGGCCACCCAGATACCGAGAAGTTGGGTCCTTACAACTAAGCTCCAGGTTCTGCATTAAGAAGAAAGCAAAATAAATGCACTGTCTCCTCAGCATAATTCAAAGGAGCAGCTGTCTTTGAGGTGAATTAGTCTGTACAACCAGAACAAAATTTCCAACCCAACAAGATACTTGGATCGTTTTTCAGCTAATCACAAACTGCAGTTTCAATCCTACACTTTGATACTCCCGAGTTTTTCAAGATTCAGTGGTCTGAGTGGTGAATTCAAGCACATTTCTAGAGTGTCAAAGAATCCCAAACAGGAGATTCTGAGATTATAAAGCCCGAATCCATTGTCTTTGCTAAACTATTTTCACTCCTCAGCTCTGGCCAGAGAAAGAGTGACAACTGCAAAGGAAATGGTACCACAGCCCGCCATGTCAATATTTCTTCTTTACAAATGGTAATTCAAGACGTTTTGACAAAACCAAAGTATACCCCTTAATAATAACTCTGCCACTCAATGGCTCCTTGTGTTCTGTTCTCACACTGAACCATCATTTGAGTGCCTAAATATCCTCCAAGGATGCCATCAAATGCACAGCTGGCAGCTGGCATACAGGGTTTCTTTTGTGCTCATCCTCCTAACAGAAACATCCATAGATTGAAAGTTTTGAAAGAGCAGATATACTTATTTCTCCATGAAATGTCATGTGCTTTTATTAACAAAGGCTTAAGAAATGCTATCAAAATACCATAGAGGAATTTTGAGCAGCAGAAAATGAGTTCCCTATGTAGAATTCGGCCAAGTGACTACAGTATCCTGTCACAAAGTTTCTAGGTCTGTGGGTTGCTGGGAAAAGAAAAGACAAGGGTTTGCAATCTAAGACAAAGTCACGGCTCTAGCTCTTCAGTTTGATGGGTACAGGCCCGCGTGACATAAATCAATGCATATCTATTGCAGAGGCTCCAGTCCATGACACTGAAACATTTGTCAGTTGATCAGCAATCTTTTGAGATTAAAAGATGCAGAGGAACAAAAATATTAAGAAACCGCCATACCTCCCACACATTCAGAGGATGAATCATTAAGAGGCCAATTCTGCAAAGTGCTCCACACTTCTCTGTAGCTCTGCACAGGAAAAATTCAGCAATGACGTAAACCAAGAAAAAAGTACCCTTTGCAACCGTCCCACCACCAACTGCTAGGAGCTGTTCATTAGAGATCACCTCTTTCTGTCCTCAGCCCACACATCGGGGTCAGACGTCAGTAGCAGAACAAGTGATGTTTGAATTTAGCCCTGTCCACCTTTTTGACGATTCTTCCCAGCAACTGAAGGATAAAAGTGGACAAGTAACTGGCATACGTTTTTAGCTTTTTGAGAACTCACTGAACTTTAATGTATCCCAGGATGACTGGTGGTGTTTCTGCTTTGGGAAAGGCAATTGTGATGAGGCCAGACATGGGCCTAATTGCTTCGTTCTAAATAAACTTGTGCTGTGCAAACCATTTAAACTATTTGTGGAACACGATGTGGAAACTATACCCTTATGCTATGGTAAGCAGATGGGGAGCAAACCTGCATGTCTAGTACCCAGCGCTATTTGAGTTCTCATCAGCTTGGCTTGCAAGAACAAGGCTCTACAGATGTAAAATACAGGCATTCATTCATAGAGATGTTTTAACACCACCTCTTAATCTGCAAGCTTATTTCAACTCGGATCAAGGTTGAAGGGGTGAAGAATATGATGCATATTTGTCTTTAGGAGCTGGAAGCCTGAAATAATTGATAACCCCAGTAGCAGATTTCTAGAGAACAGCAGTAAATAATGTCCCAAGTACTTAGAACAAGCAAGTAATATCTCTAAATACTTCTTTTTACAGCCTTCACACCAAACAACCTACCACTTCTTCTAAAGCCAGAGCTGTAAGTTACTGGAAATGACAGTCAATGGTTGTTCATTGGTCTTAATTGGTATCGGTGAAATGGGCAGTAATTTCATGGTTCACAGCGTTTCACTTCTTCAAGTCCAAATTTTCTGGTTTGCATTTTTCTTTTAATGTTAAAAGCAATCATTAACCTACAGTAATACATTAATGCAGTGTGGGTTGGGGGGGGGTTGTTTATTTGTTTGTTAAAGTGTATGGAGTATTGTGTCCTATTATAAAAAGTTTGACTAAAGAATTATGCAAAAAGCTTTAATAATTTAAATACTTGTTCAGCCATATGGAAATGTACAATCTGTTTTATGTTCTGTGGGAAACCTACAGTTGCTATAACCTTAATGAATTTTAAAACCTCCCATCCATTATTTAATACAGCAGTTTTCTAAATTAATGATAACACTTATTCTGTTACAATGTACCATAGTGGAGATGCTCAGAGATGAGTCAGGGATACAAAACACTAACAGTGATCAAAAATCCTCTACAGCTGAGGAGGATGCAGCACTGCAGTTCAGTCCCGCTATCTCTGAAAAAGCTGTCACTTCATCCTTATGCCAGGAAATGTCGATACAATATTACACAGAACGGAAGACATAACATAATAGTTTTGTTCATTAGTATTTTTTTCCATGTAATGCTCTATAAAAGAGAGAAAGCTGAAGAATATAAAACCAGACTTGTAAATATTACAATGAAGTACATTGTTCTTATTTAAATAAATTTCCTTGAGCAGTATCTTCTTAAAAGGTGAAAATTAACCACTAACATTTGTCTCACTGTATAAAAGTGACAATAGCAATTATAAAGAACCCAATGGTCTTATGCTTATTTCATCCTATTCTTAAGTTTTCACAGCAAAAATATTTAAATTTGCAATATTACCAAAAAGATGCAAACCTGTCAAATATATTACTCTGAAGTAAATTAACAACTAATTTATAGGAACCTACCATAGGAACTATTAAGTGGACAGTAGTAATGGTTTTCCATATAAAATCTATCAAAAATTGTTGGAGAAAATATACAAAGCGTAGCTGATAGCTGATGAAATCTGCAATATGGCCACAGAGAAATAAGTTGCAGATCATCAAAGTTAGCTCTTGTGCAGAAACATCCACCACGAGTTCATTAATTTCATTTTTCACTGGAGAACAGCAGCAGGTTTCCATAATGCAACCATCATGGGAAACTGATTCAATGCTGTACTTTAAGCTTTACCCATAGTTGGAACTTGCAACAGCTTAGATTTTTTGGTGCTCTGGTCTGTCTTGCTCTCCAGAAGGCTACGTAAATATAAAAATCTTCAGCACAAAGACAGCTGTCTCTAAAGCACTGGCAACTGGTCTTAGTAGAAGACTGTTCAAGAAAAGAAAGGAACAGACAGATTTAGCCGGACTGACAAAGCAATATTGATAAAGCAATACTCTATATATAAACCAGAAAACTAGGTCACCATTAGAAGCTGAGAAATTTGTGGCCTATGCCCTCCAAACACACACGCCCATAAACTCATGGAGCTGAGAGGACCCTTTGCAGACTTACAGGTGCTCACCTGCTTAAGTCTTTTTTAGCCTGAGTCAGCAGCCAAACCCTCATCTTGCACCAGTGAAGGCAAAGTGCACCTTCAACTATTCTGAATAGCAAAAAAAAAAAATCAAGTGATTGATTCTACCCAACCTCAGGCATTTAACTAAAGTACCTAGACAAGGACCTTATTAATCCAGGCTCTGTTCATCAACCACAGATGGCAAGCTGCAACCTCAAGAAGGTGCTTTAGTCTTGCCCAGGTCAAGGGTGACAGTGTTCCTAGCTTAGACATCTCAGACAGGTTACTGAAATTAGGTGTAATTGCCCACTGAGGGTCTCCCTGTATATGAGTGCTCCTAGCAGAGTCCACAGATCTTTAATCATGCACATGATTAAAGATAATCAGTGTAAGTGTGTTCTGCTCTACTAGGCCTGCATCCAGCACCGGGACCAGCCAGAACTGTTTCTGGCTCTTCACCTTAATAAGGAGAAGGTTTTGCTTCCTATGGAAAATACTGTCAGCTTTATGATTGACTCCATCCCCACAGCATAGGCACCAAAACAGATACCTTCTGAAATTTGTCAGCTTTTATTTAGTTCAAATTCTGAATGGAAACTTAGCTTGTTTTATTTTTCTTCAGATATGAACTTACAAAGGACTTTTTTTTAAGATAGTTGAAACTCTTAAGCCACGGATAGAGCCTATAAATTTTCACTGTCCTATTCTGAGAACAAAGCCCCACAGATTCCCCCATAGCAGGAGGAAAGCTCCGTTAAGTTACTTAGTGGGTGCCTCACTTTGGTCCTTAAGGTCCTCCCCAAAATGAAGAAGATGTTTTCTAACCACAAACTACTCATTCTTGGGAAAAGTTTTGTCTCCACAGATGCTGGTCTACACGCCACTGATGCACCTCAACACACATGGGAGGTCTTAGTACTGCTGCAGGATTAGCTGTGGTGTGGTTGAAGGTACACAAAAGGACATTTGATTTTTATTTGTTCCCAAACAGGGTAATGTGGAGTTTCCTTACTTCTCACTTCTCACCAAGAAGGTGACTTTACCCACATTTTAATTTATGTCTGCACCACTGAGAACTGCCCCTGGTCCAGCCTTTAGAAGAGCAGCAGGGGGGTTGGAACTGGATGATCTTTAAGGTCCTTTCCAACCCAAACTATTCTATGATTCTGTGAGTTACGCTGCAGCTGGAGAAGTAACTGGGTGATTCCCAGACCACCTGAGAGCAGCACAGGGAGCATTGCCTCCTTGTTTCTGTTCAATGAAAGCATGCCAAGCACATAACATTAATTAAGATATACTGTACCTCCAGCTGTTTGGATCTTGATGTGTTTATTTCCTTCTAATCTTAATTAGAAAACAAAAGGTAAAGACAGTTAAAACATTGTAACACACCACTAATTCAGAACACCATTTAAAAAAAAAGTGCAACAAAGGTACTACTGTTCCAAAACCAGCTCCTATTATTATGGTTAATAGCGTTATTTTTCTTCATTTTTTCGTTTTGCAGCAAATTTTGGAAGCACCACTCAGTGACTAAACTCTGTGGTGTATGTATGTGACAGCAGCATTTTGTTGTATGAAATCTAAACACTTATTACATCCTTTCATAAATATATGTTTATGACTTGTCTATTAAGTACCTATAAACCTAAGGCTTTTTCCCACTGTTCGAAAACATCACATGGAAAAGAAACAGTTTGCACTGGGTTTCATATAAGAACAGAAATAAACCTGAAAGCAAGCACTTACTAACTGTTATTACTGGAATTCACCACAATGCAAGTAAACATCTTCAAAACTAAAAATAGCACTGAGGCTCTGCAAGTGCATCTATCACAGCCTCTTAGTCCTAACAGGGTTCTGTTTTCTTTGAATTCACAGAGCACTCAGAGCGTGGAGAAGCTGTTCAGAAGACAATGTACCACATTGTCAGCATCTGCTCTAGGATCCTTCTGCAAAAGTAAGTGTGTTAAAATTTAAATACATGGCAACAATCACTTTAACAATTATAAATAGCCCCACTGCCTTAAGAGGCTTCAAGGAGAGCCAGTCTGTCTGAAATAATAACTGTTTTTTAAAGGAAATACATCCTACTAGATAAAATTAAACTGAGAAAGCAGGGAAAATGCAATATGCAACCTTCCAATACCTTTTGGTGCAGCTTTCGTCTGACTGGAAACCATCGCAGCTGCATCCGATGGCAGGCCAACATACACACCACCATAGTTCCTGATTTAAAGAAACAATTAAAGAGACATCAGAGTTTAATTGAAACACTTCTTCCTGCAATGCCAACATCACACAGCAGCATTACAAAGACCATGGATGGTCAGAGAGGAGGGCACCTCTGCACAAGCATCCTCAGAGAAGCCCTCCTTTCTCATGGCTATGGGAAAAGTGCATATTCAGTGCCACATGTTTGCTAATACAGTGCCAGGCAGAAAAAACTTGAGGCTAGCTGTCACTCTTAAGTAGGACCCAACCCTGTGAAAGGAGCTATTTTTGACTCAAGTTCCTAACATTTTTCATTAAATCCTAACTGTGTTGTGACAATAAACTTCACCAGCCCAGCTTCTTCTAGACACCGAATATATCCAACCGAGGACGGAACCAATCTGATAGCAATGTTCGACACTGGGACCACAGAAGCTCCTCACTGCAAACAACACACGCCAATTAAACAGCATTTTGACCTCTCTGTTAATAAATAGGACCTGCATTCCCCTGTTTAGGGTCACATTTGGAGAAAACTGTGAGTAGGGAGGAGCACACGGGTGTCAGGTACTTTACAGCCCAACCCTCTCCCCTTCATGGCCTTGTAGAGCATATTTTCTGGCTTCAGGGCCTGTATGAAAAGCACGGACTGATGCAAAGGAGGTGAAAAACTGGGTCCTTAAGAGCCTCTGCCATGCCTGGAGCTACTTGCAGAGACACCTGTTATGCTGCTCTGCCCCCTTAGGTGCCAAATTAATTACACCTCCTCCAGCCCTCGGGCTCTGAGCTGATTTCTGATTTGTTTGATGATAGAGTCACACTTGCTTCGATTTCCAGCCCAGCAGAGATCTCCAACAAGTGCTAATGCCATCTTCCATGGCAGGGCTGGTGTGAAGGCAGAGGTCACTGGCCCTTATGCGTTCTTCTTGCCACAAAGTTCCCCCACTCCCCAACTCACTAACAGGGTGGGTGGACTCATCAATACTGGGTTCTGTGTGAGATTTCCTCCTTCCTTTTCTTTTTTTCTTCTTCTCTGCTTTGGTGGTGTTGGTGGGAATTACGAGGAGGGAAGGAAGGATGTACATCTGGTGGCAGAACTCTCTGCAGCCCATTGCAAATAAAGCCAGTCCCAGCACAGCACCTACCTCCTTTTGTCGTCATCTGATACGGATTCTTCTGCTCTGTAACATCAAAAGATACAATGCACATTAGCGGATTGTTTCTTTCAGACACTCCATGACCATCTGGTAGATTCAGGAGTAAGGGAAGAAGGGGATTATTACTGATCCCAGTTTAATTCAGGTCATCTACAATTCAATAAAGTACTCACATAGGCACAAAAAGAGTGACAATTTTCCAATCTAATGTACAGAAGAAAGAAAAGGATTGAGAATAGATGCAGCTTAGTTTTCACGACCCCTGCCAGTGATGCCTGAAAGTAAGTTTGGGAGCAAAAACACGTAAATGAACACTTCTCCTGAGTGAGTCCCCACACTGCTCCACACATAAGAAGAACATAAAGGCTCTGCATATAACAGGAATGAGTCTGGACTGCTGTTCCACCAAAACAGGACTGGAAGGGACTGGGCATCCCCGCTGGCATGGGAATGTGGATGAAGAGAGATAAACTTGCACAGCAGCTGTGCCAAAAGATGTTACAGAGCCTCTCTGTAAAATGAGGTACTGCAATTCCTGAAGTCAGGGTCATCTGCAAACCAAGTAACTGTTACTAATCCTTTATATATGGGTAATTCTCTTTTACCATTAGGGTAAAATCACAGGTCAGTCTGTAGATCAACAGGGAGTCACTGAGGTTGGAGTCTCCCCACTGAAATACTGTCCAGTGTAGCTGAACCAGGACAGGCGGTAAAGTAATTGGCATCGATGTGAAGGCAAATGTAGTACGGAAAAAATAAAAATTTTATTCTTACTCCCTGAAAGTATAGTGCCTGTGCTGCAGTCTCAGTCTGTGCCCCAGCTTCAATCTGCACACAAACCACTCACCCACCTTTGATTAAACATTTGGACTTTGAGCTCTGCTTGCATGGCTGGGTATGAATCGGGGCAGCTGCTGCACTTTAGCTTGGTCTGCAACCTACCAACGTAGCAATAAAAACAGAGGCAAGATAACTTGAGTGCTGTAAAATCCACAGACATCCTTCATTCCTTCCCTACAGCTGGGAGCAACTGTGACAACTGCCCGAGAAGGAGCAATGAGATACAGCCACCGCGATACTCAGGGAAGGCTGAAAACAGCAAAGGGGCCACCACGACCCAGGGAGGGCTCTGCTGTGGAAATGCTCATGCACAGGCTGTTCACCCAGACAGCCTCACCTGAATATTCCCACTGAAAGACCAATTGTCTGGACTAAGGGGGAAATGCAAAGATACTCCCCATCACAAGCTGATCCGTGAAGTTCTGACCTCAGTGATAAAACTGAGAGCTGGCCTTTACCCAGTGTTAGGGCTAAATCCATACTGTAGACTTGAAAGGAATTTCTGAACTACGATCTTGAAGAATAATATATGACACTACTTACTGTAATTTATTTATTCTAAAAGGTAGATGTGCCTACTGTTTAATCATCAGGGCTGTGTGTCATTACTGACCCCTGAAGTCAATGGGATTTTGGCTCAAAGAGCAGAGAGCTCATAGCAAGATGCAGCCTTAAATGCAAGAAAATGCCCCTTAAACCTCAGTAAGCACTCTCCTTGGGAGGGTAGCAAATGCCTTAAAAATACTGCTACAAGTTGGAAATTATCCTACACCTACCTTCTAAGCAGCAGAACATTACAAACTATCCTTTCTGCGTCACCACAGTGAATAAGGGTACACAGGTCTTTTTAATAGTAGAAGTTTGGGGTAAATTTAAGTATGCTGCAGATTTGCTAAATGGTATTCACACAGGATAGCGCTGAGTGGGGTGAGTGTCCTCATCTGCTGTGTTTGCCTGCATCTTACCACTCAGGCAATGGAGCAATAAACTCCTCATTCTCTGGCCCTCCTGCCACTCCTCCCTGGAGGAGCTAGTGCCATTTCAGAAGGCATCTCCCATCTCCTCTGACCCCACGTAGCCTAAGCCGCCTTGCAGCCCTCATGCACTCCATCAGAAAAATGCAGAGACAACTTTCCCTGAGGTCTGTGAAGCTGCTGTGTCCTAGTGTGGGCCAGTTCCAGATGAAGAAAGTGGAAAGCCTGTGTGTATCAATCAGTAGAAATGAGCCCTGTATTTTTAGCATAAAAAAGACACTTTAAGAAAGGGACTTTGGATGCCAAAAGATAACAATCATTTGTGTTGAACCAACTGAATATGTCACAGAACTGATTTTCTCATACAACTGGAAACATTTTCTATAATCCAGATTAATCATTACCCAGAGAAAAACATCTTTTAAAAGCACTGACAAATTCATGCACAGCTCAAAGCCTCTAAAATGGAGTTGTAAGAATAATCATCAATATTGTCCAACAGGAAATTAATGTCAACGTTTAAAAAAAAAGGAAAACATCCTCTACTAGGCAACAGAACTATTTTCTTCTGTTCTAGAAATGTTTTGTAACAGGGCATCACTGGACCATTACTGCCCTTCTCTCAACAAAACTAATTATCCAGGGGTATGATTAAGCAGACTAGGTTTTCTTAAACATTTTACTTTCTTCCTTTCCTCTTAACAGCTACAAATCAAAGTCTAATTTTGCAATACCTTTTCCCTTAAATGCGCAACAGCAAATATATAATCTGGGATTGTACAAGCCACAGCTCTTGGGCTGGGTGATGACTGGGTGCAATCTGTTGCAGTCCTGCTAGGAAAGAGGAGGTGAGCAGAGACGGGAGGAACATAGAACCCTAGAATAGTTTGGGTTGGAAGGGACCCTTAAAGGCCATCTAGTCCAACCCCTCTGCAGTGAGCAGGGCCATCTTCAACTCGATCAGGTTGCTCAGAGCCCCGTGCAATCTGACCTTGAATGATTCCAGGGGTGGGGCATCCACCACCTCTCTAGACAATCTGCTCCAGTGTTTCACCACCCTCACTGTAAAAAACGAAAC